TCGATGAAAAGAAAACCGGTGGCGCAAAACTAGTGGCCCCAAGCACAAGCTATAAGTTAAACAATTTTTTATATAGTACAAGTTATTGTTTATAATAATGTAGATAGAGATGGTAAACATAATATAATCATCCTAATCTGATCTGAATAAGATATTCTCTAATTTTTTTGTTAAATATAATTCTCTTATACATGAAACTCTAATTTATATTTCTTAATTAAAAACTTTCAAAGGTTTCTTAATTAAAATTTTATTGATAAAGTGAAGAGTGTGGGATGGAGATAAAATCGTGATTTTGCATGTATGGATGCTTGAATACATTTCTAATTACCATTTTGTTGGAATAGCTACCAAAATTACCATGAGGAAGGGCCACAAAATTATCCTATAATTTTAACTTTCATAAACAACCAAAATCTCATTGGGCATCACTCATTATCAACTATTTTCATTACAAAAAGAAAAAAAAAAAAAGAGAAAAATTAAATTCATTAAATATTACATGGAAATAATTTATTTGAAATTTAAAATGAACAATTCCCTTGCTTCTTTACTTAATTGGATGCATATTTTCCATCTCCACACAAGCTTTCAAAGCCATGCCAAAATCCACTTTCTAATTATGGGTTTTTTTTCTAAAAATTAACGTTTGAACTTCATCACATGTGCTTGATGCTATTCTTGACAAAACTCATCATGATCTCTGGTTGGCCAAAATATACAATTCTCAAATAATGATTGCCTTCATATTCTATTTTATAAATAAAACCAAGAGCATAACATCATTCATTTCATGTTTTTTTTTGGCTAAAACACAATCTCTAGTGTGCATGCTCAAAATTCTATATTTTCTATATTCAAAAGAGTAATCATCAATTAGTTCATATTAGCAAAATTCATAGTCATTTTGATTAGATTATTATGTGTGTTGTAAAGCATAGTAAAATGTATATAATAATCTATTTTATTGAATTATATTTTCCTTATAATGATAATTCTTTTTATTTTTTGCTTTCTTATCACTTAATCATGAAATTAGTGATACTCTTCTAGAATTTTAGCTCATTTTAAGATCATGAAATTCTCAATATAATGTATCATGATTTATATCATATATTTGTTAACCATTGACATGGTCAATAAACACATCTAAATCATATTCCAAAGCATCTATTTAAATCATTAAGATTAAAATTTTGTTATATTCATAACCATAATTTTATCGGACAAATTCAATAATTAGAAATTAGAAAAAATTAAGAATAATTGAAAATACATAATTTGTGCAACAAAAAAATAAAAAAAATTAGAAAATATTAACTTTTAAAACAGTTATAAAAATAAATTACTTCAATTGCATCACTAATTGCATTTACAAGTAATTATATACACCAATAATTGAATATTCAATTTTAAAAAAAGTATTAAAATGTATTTAAGAAATATTCTTCAATGTATTGAAAGGATTTGCTAATTATCAATTTTAAAATTGCACATATTGAAAGCTTCAAAATTTTTGAATCACTAAGAAATGAAACTAATATATCACAACTACAAATAATATGTTTTGAATTTATTCTTCGAACATAATTAAAATATTATCTCCTTAACATATCATATACTAAGCCATTTAATTTGTCGCAAATAGGGCTACTTATCATCATAGCTATTGTTATGATTTACATCATTGATATCATACTACCCAATGATGCATATAAAAGGATTTAGGCTAATGCACAAATTTACTAAAAATAGAATTTTTGTATAACACTAACACAAATGTGTGTGTGTGTGTGTGTGTGTGTGTGTGTGTGTGTGTGTGTGTGTGTGTATAAGCTTATTATTTAGGCATCATATTATGAAGGGTGTAAGAGAGTAAAATTATTGACAGTTTTATATGAATTTAGATATTTTTTAATAGATGGTATCATGATTTATCTTTTGCTTCAAATGCCAAATGAAAAAAATATGAAAAGAATTGTTAATGTTGCCATTGTGTGGCAGGATGATAGTGAAGTGATCCCAAGATTTAATGAAAGTTCTTTTGGTTCTTAAAAACTTGTTACTCATTTGTCATAGTACTTGGAACTTTAGAAAATATATCACAAGTGATATTATTCTTAGTTGTAATATCTTCAATACATGAAATTAAAATATTGAAGCGAAAATAAACATTAATTAATCCTCAATACATTTGAAATAGCAAAAATCAACATGGATACACCACAAAATATAAATTAGAAATGCTCAATGAATTAACTAAAGCATTTGTAATATCTTCTCAATTGGATCATCTCCTGAACACCCTCCTCATCAGGTGTGTAGAAGTCATTCACACAAAAGCCTTACTCAAGCAATGATTGACGTGCCTAGTGTTTCAATGCTTCTGCAGGCATTCATGTTGGATTTTCATCCAAGACCCTAAAATCAACAGATCTTGAGAGGGATGTCCCCATAATAAAATTATGTAGAAATGTTGTTGCAACAATTATCTTTATATATTTTTTGGAAAAAATATGGCGTCATATATCAAAGTATTACTCATTTCTTCTTTCATACATCGAATGTTCTCTCGATAACACTCTGTAATGATAAGTGTCTTTTGTTAAACAATTACTTGTTTCATCTAATAATTTAGTTTTGTACTCAAAGTCAAGAAGATGGTACCTCGTATCGAAAAATGGCTTTAAGAAATGTCATTGCATAAGATATCCCCAATCGACGATGCAGTATTTTCTTAAATAATAACATTATTAGTACAACTCTTCAAATGTAACATTTCATATATGGTCATGAATGTATTAACTAGATGAAGACAATAAAAATTTGTATTCACATCAATGAGCAACGAATTTGAATTTGTGACTTTCATGAGTATTCCCTCTCATCTAGTCATTAAGAACATAAAACACATGTTGAAACCAACTGTTAAGATATTCTATTTTGCTAATCCACGACTTCTTATATAAACAATCTTGTCATTATTGCCAACAGGTGCATCGACATGTGTGCTATTAATTACTCTTAATCAATATTATTTAAATAATTATTAGAACAACTTTTTTGATAAAACACCCATTCAAATTAAATAGATAAATCAATACCTTGAAGAGAACGACATGATGTATCTCGTATCGTTACAGATTTCTTATGGTTTACATGCAAAAGCAAGATCTATGGGTTTGATAATATTATTTGTCGTTCTAAAAAAGAAAAAGAGTTAACCTCAATATTGAAATATTTATTAAACATCTCTACTAAGTGTTGGAATCGCTCGGAAACAACACTAATTGACTAATTATGTGACATAATATATAAAGCGACAGATAATACTTCCCTATATATAAATAGGAATGATACATACAAACCACAATTGCTCTGCAATTCAGTCAGTAAATTAAAAAAAAAAAAATTCTTAACATCCCAAACAAACTATGAATTCTGTCTGAATCAACTTGGAGCAAGTCACCAATCTAATTTGTGACCCACAAATAACTATGACACTCACATTGTCCTGAACAAATTTTTCTAGTAGTACTCCAGATAAAACATATTGTGCTAGTTAGAATTATTACTTGGTCCACTATCTCTATAATTTTCTCTTATTTTATGGGTTCATATGACTATTTTATGCATGTAAAAATATTTTAAAAATAACAAGCTATGCTATAAGTGAACAATTACATAATTAAAACACTACAACTAGTGCAAAACATACATGTTGAAATGTCACACGATATTGTTCGACATAATGTTTAAATTATTACACACCCATGAGTAACATAAATTAAAAAAAAAAACACACATACACACACAAACTAACTACACTGATAAACTTTAACATAATAAAAATTTTGGAATCAATATTCCATATAAACTCACGCAACATAAACTTTCAAATTATATTTCACTTCATAAGCATTTTATGAAGAGGAAACTAGACAATGTGCTAATCAGTATAATAGTTGTAATTAATGGTAAACAACTTGCTAACATTCTAAACAAAAAAATCATCAATGATAGTTTCTTAGAAATTATTAAATTAGCTTCATATGAATAGCATCCATACAAATGTTTGACTGTTGTGAAATGCTTGCATAATTTACTTCAGTTAGGACTCGCACGCAATAAAACTTTTGCCCTTTACTTCCCCTTTCAATTTCACCTCACCGATCTATAAAATCCCAATTTCAAGCTCTTCAATTCATGGATTATTGTAATTACAAGCTCTTCAATTCACCAACCCACACACACCTTGTAGGCAATAGCCAACAAAGACTACCACACTCACACAAATGAAGAGCACAATAACAGGAATTTGTAAAAACCACACCCACGCCTACATCTCACATTACAAAAACACCCCCACAACAAACATTACAAAACCACACAAACACCTTGTAGGCAACAGCCAACAGAGACCCCCACACTCACTCCTATGAAAAGCAAAAGAACATCAATTTATTAAAACCACAACCCACAACCCACAACCCACATTGCAAAAGCGCACCCATAGCCAACGTTGTTAAACCACACCCACATCTTGTAGACAACCAACAGAGACCACCACACCCACAACCATGGCGAAGTCAGCATTGCAAAATCACAACCAAAACCTCTTTGTAACCCTAGTGTCACTACAATCATAAAAGAAATACGAGAAGCCCCAAACAACAACCATAGAGGAAAAATGAGAAGCCCCAAAGCACAACCATAGACGTAAAATGAAATTAACAAAACACAACCAGAGAGGAAAAACGAGAAGCCTCAAACAATAACCACAGAGGAAAAAATGAGAAGCACTAAATCACAACCCGAGGTGTAAAACGAAAGCACCAAACAACAATCATAGGGGGTAAAACGAGAAGCCAAAACCATTGCCACCGAATAAAAAAAAAAAAGAGAAGCGTCAAACCATAACCACTATGAAAACAAGCCAAAACCGACAGCCACAGAAGAAAAACAAAAATATCACAAGTTTCGTTCAAGATACAAACAGAGAGGTGGAGCGAATACACAGGAGACACAAAGACCACTGCAAATGTGCCCTAATATTAATGTCCACAGCTAATATGAAGGTAGAAGAGAATAGGAGGGGCAATATCGAGGATAACAGGTCCCATCCAAACCGTGTAGTACCGCAAAACCGAGCTCTGTAATGTCATTCGCAGCTTGCCCATTTTGAAAACGGAATTTTACAAAAACTGCTCAAACGATGGCTCCCAAACGCAACTTCATAGCTTCTCAAAATGAAAAGCAGTACAAAAACGATTTCAAACGGACCCTAAGTACAATTGACTGCCAAAAAAGTCTGGTATGGCCTTTTTTAAATTAAAAAAAAAATTATAATAGCAACCATAGATTTTTTAAAGATCAGCTTCTCCTGTGACAACTTCACAGTTGCTACTTCAAACAGCTGCAACTATCCCAAAGAGATCATTGTGCCTGTGGATCATGTAATTGAATGTTATTTGCTAAAAGCTTTAAGATCGTTACAGCTATCCTTAAATCAATTGGAAGGCTGTTAAACGAAAAAAATGCTCTTTGAAGTTAAGGCTGCAGCTATCAGTATTGTATGAAAAGTCAAAATGCCAGCCGTAAGGCCAATGTAGTATGCGTTTCAATGACCTATATGTTTTTACTCATATTAAAAAACATAGGTTTAGTTATTACTGATCTATTATAAAATAAAATAATTAAAATATCATATCACAAAATTTTCAATTAGAATTATATTCAAACTATTCAAGACTACAATATTAAATACTCAAATAATTAAAATATCATTATGCATCATTATTATGTTAAAATAATTTTAATATTTACTATATTATTTACTTCAACCCTTATTTAATTGTTGAACCTTAAGCTCCAACCTAATTTAATCTAATCGTTGAACCTTAAATCTCCACTTCAATGTTCGATCTATTTTTCAAAAATTTATTGTTCCAGCTGGAAAAAATCTCAACAGCAGAAGATAAAATATTGAAGAAAAGAAGCCGAAGTAACAAATGACAGAAACAGAAACAGTAACAGCTTAAATTCAAAAAGCAAACAAATTACCAGTAAATTGCTAAGTTTATTTCCACAATTCCTCCATCGGGATTCCACGTTCTCGAGCAACATCTCTGAACTGCCTCATCTTCTGCACAGCAACTACTGTAGCCCGGGCATTGTTGAGGGCATTGTTGCTTCCAATCTGCTTTCCCAAAGCATTCTCTACACCGGCCATTTCTAGCACAACCCGCACCGCTCCTCCGGCGATAACGCCGGTGCCCGGCGAAGCTGGCCTCAGCATCACCTTAGCTGCTCCATAATCTCCATCAGATCTGTGGGAAGAAGTTAGAAGTAAAGAGAAACTACACTGTAGATGGGTGGGAGACAAGTATTTATTTCATGGAAGTTTTAGATGCATACCACTCAATTCTTATGTATTTACATATCTACACCTAAACTTCAATTTTTACATACACATCACCTTACCTATGCATGAAGGTGTATTGCACTTTTTAAAATTAGGTATTTTTGATGTGATATGAAAGATTTGTGTAGTATTAAAGTTAAAAAAACAAACTCTGGGAATTACATATGTAAATACATAGGAATTGGGTGGTATGTTATGTAAATGTCTTTTAATTCATTAGTTTCGGCATATGAGAAAATCACGAGGATTTGAGAAAAAAGAATTTTATGGAACTGTTGTAAGGGCTGGCAATGTTGTCGGGAACCGCATGGCTGAGCTGAACAAAAAGAGAGTGTGTGTAAAGATTAATGTGTGGCAAAGCTGTTTAAATTCTGAAATTGATAATGAAAAAGTGTACACCTCAGAATTGCATCAACTTGCATGACCACAATAGCAATTCCTATATTTATAAGGGGCATCTACATATATATCATCCAATTCTTAAATATTTATCCATCTAACACCTAAACTTTATATTTACATGCCTAGCACTCCACATAAAAAATATCATTATTATGAACATTTTAAAAAGTGAAATACAAATTTTCATTCATAGGTTTATAACAATAAACAATTATAAATGTAAATATCAAACTTTGGGTGATAGATATGTTAACAGCAACATGAAGTACTTCATGGTATTCATGTGTATGATCAAAGTACATTAAACTTCATGGTATTCATGTGTATGATCAAAGTACATTGAATCGAATCCCGTGACCCCGAGCATGACACATGAATCCCGAAGGGCTCAAAAAGTGTCAATCAGCACGCAGCGGATGATCCAAAAGATCAAACGAGAAGTGCGACTGAATAAGTTGACGAACAACTCACCATTCTAAGAGAAAGCGAACCAGTGGCCTTACGAGAAAAGATTATGCCACAATAATGGTAGTCTCGATGGTTACCACGACCGACCAATAATAGAGAATTTCAAGGGCATTATCAATATTTCATAATGTAACTTATATTTACTATAAATATAAGAACAACATCTAAAGGAGACTTTTTGTCCAAAGAAGCAAGCGTATATCACTAATTTTATACTTTCGAGCCAATTTTCTCTTTCTTTCTCTCCTTATTTATATTTTATGTCTTGGGTGTGATTCACAAAAAAATTTGGCATTAATATCCTAAAAGGTGCAATGAACGTGGAAACATGTTGCAAACAAGAAGAGAAATGGCTCAAGAAGATCTCTCATCTCAAGAAGCCAACGACAACATGAACTACACCTGCGAGTTTGTGAATCAACAAATCAACGCACTCAAAAAACAAACGATGAAGACAATTAAAAAGCGCACTCACCTTAGAAAGAACGCAACTACCGCAGTCAGTGACATCTCATCAGTCGCGAAGGACAGCCGTCATGAATGTTGTAAGGATGCCTCCTATCCCGAACAAGAAAAAGATACAAACTACCCCAATAGCAAGGATTCCGCACCACTCGACCATCGCAGGCACAAGCGCATGGAAGCACCAGAGCCCACACCGCTTGAAAATGCCTTTTTTGGACGAATCTTAGAAGCCAAACCATCTGAGCGCTACAAGATCCCGACACTAGAACCCTACCTGGGACAATCAAATCCAACGGAACATATTGCCTCCATTGAGTTAGTGGTATGGTTACTAAGGATCAACGACACGCACAAATGTCGTTCGTTCCTCACCATGCTCAGGGAGTCGGCTCTTTGATGGTTCAGCGGTCTGCCATTATGGATGAACACTTTCACAAATTTTAGAAGAATGTTCATAGCTTAGTTCGCCCGTGCACAAAAGCCTCGCCAAACACAAAAGCCCCAAAGAAACTCGCAGGCCCTCCTCCTCCAGCTAAGTCAAGGGCATCTTCGAGGAAGTTGTCGATCCATGATGCATCAGGTTCAAAGTCACACAATAGCTTATGATGGATGAACGCTATTTCGAAGGTTGGCCACTTCCCTGCATTTGAGATAAGTGACACTAAAGTCAAAGGAATCCTTGGGAAGACACGCGCTAGTGAATATGAAAGTCATTCAGAAGGAAAAACGTTAGCCTGCAGAATACAGTGGCAAAGTTATTTCTGGTCAACACTTGCTAAGAACAGAGAGTTATTCTAAAAAAAAATGGGAGCAATGCCAAAAGTTTACACTGATGCAAACATCAACCATCACTCTAGTTATAGGCCATCATTACATCTTGACTATTCACTGTCTGAGGACTTGATATCCTCGAACCTTCCTTCCAAAGGGCAATGGGAGTATATCTTGGTGGTAGTAGACTGCTTCTCTACGTGAATCAAAGCCAAGTCACTTGCTCCAATATAGCTAACGTTGTGTGCAATCTCATTTAAGCAGATCTCAACTGCAAATGAGGCCTGCCCCTTACCATCATTACCGACAATAGGGCACAATTTTCCGATCAAGGGATCTGAGATTTCTATCAAAGTCAAAAAATCAGCTTGAGATTTACATTCATCCATCATCCTTGAACAAACATACAAGCCGAAGCCACAAACAAGATTATACTCAACTCACACAGGGAAAAAGTTGAAGGAGCCAAGGGTAACTGGGCTGACCTCCTCCCATTTATCCTTTGGGCGACACTATCGACAGCAGCTAGCCAAAACCCATTTATGTTATCACATGGTGTTGAAGTTGTGCTACCAATACAATATAATTTGAATGGTCAGAGGGTGTTTCCATGTCAATATTTGACGGGAAAAACATGGGAGAATGGTTGGAAACCAATAAGGAAGGACTGGGGCTAGGGCTCGACCCAATAGAGGAAAAACACACATGATCAACCCTCAAGCAGGAAGAAACCAAACGAAGAACTGCTCGATATTATAACAAGCGCATCCGAGAGGACTTCTGCGAAGGAAATGTTGGATTGAAAAAAGTCAATCCAACCGAGCAGAGACAAACAGTAGGGAGTTCAATCAATCGTGAGTCGGACCATTCATTGTTAGCAAAAATGTCACGCAAGGAGCTTACAAACTACAGATGCACATGGGAAAGGAAGGGTCTCGCATGTTAAGGGATAATTTTTATTCTTAAAAAAGCATTGTAATATGATTTTATTTTCTACAAGGCATATAATCTATTGTTTAGCATACATGTAAAATTTTTTTACAAAAACATCCCACGAATATATCACATGAGTCTCTTCAGACAAAGAAATCACGAGTCAACTCGAGGATGATAAATAGGCGCCCTCGAAGGTTCAATCGAATGTCACCAGCATAAGTTTTAAACAAAAATAAAAAAGTAGACACATAACGATAAAAATAATGCTTTATTTTATTTATCAGTATGAGTGTGAATAGTCGGTCGATGGCTTCTACAAAACAAAAATGTTGATCTAACTTACTATTTTGCGTTAAATGTTAAAAACGTACGACCGAACAAGCACTTGCGGATCTCGACCAGCGAATCAAGCTCGACGCCATGGACAATAATAAAGGGTCTATTGTAACTTTCTTTTTGGTTGTCATTAATCATCCAAGCAAATCACAATGTATGTCAATCTCAGTCATTCTCCCTACAATGCTCAAGCATCATGAGACCTCTTATCCGGGAGCCTTCGAAACGTGATTCAAATCCTGGGGGTAAGATTTCCCCCTCTTTGTGATGAAAAATTTTGCATTGGACGTGAATCACCCTTGTGGCAAGTCTAGACAGTTACCTCCGTGAAAACAACGATTAGATCTACATGTCTGGCATATGGCATGGACTGTCCAAGGCAACGAAATTAACTGAGAAATATCGATGTGACACTTCAATTCTCTGGCACCGGCGCCAAAAACTTAATCTCGACTGTTTATATGCAACAGTATAACAATAGCTCTGATTATATTTTTCACTTATATTTCCTTATTTTACAACAAAGCCAAAAACATGATCCTGAAGAAAAATAAGAATTTAACTTTTTCTAATTTATATATATTGGGATACTACGCAAATATACAGATATTGGTAGATCGAAATCAACGAAAAAAACGAACTTAACATTAAAACGGGAACAAGATACACCCCAAAAAATTTCATTCCAATAGCAATATTTTGTTATATTTTGACAAAAGAAAGAAAAGTACAAAATGATTATACATTAGAGAACCCTTCATCATTTCCTCCATCCTTCTCATTACGGGTGTCATTGTTTCCCCTCGACTTGAAATCCATTAACAGTTCAGAGAATTTCTGCATATCTGACCATTCAGTGAAGATTAGATTACATTTCGTCATACGGACGAGACCGTAATGTATCCTTCATAGAACATCTTCTTGTATTTGGGAAAGAGCTCTTCGTCTGTCTTCATAATTGAAATCTGAGCTGCCAACCCCCAGTTCTCCTCCTTAAGGGTTTCTCAAGTAATTGACCACTGGGAAATGGACGATTCCAACTCTTTTTCTATCTTTCTAACCCTCCCCTACAAATTCCTATGATCCTGGCAAAAGAAATCTGCCAAGTTAACGCATGAAAGCAGGTCATTTCCAACACTAACTCATTTGGGGCTATCCTCGAGAAGCTTTCGGTCAACTATAGATAAGCGATAACATGGCCCAATATAGAAGCATGTCGATCAGAGGACAGGTCATAGAAACTCCAAACCTTAGCAAAATGAACACAAGCAAACCGGCCCCTCAGCATATCTCGACATTCTCGCAACACCTCTGTAAGAGATTCCACTTCAGTCAAGATGTTCTAGAAGAAGGTGTGTGTCTTCTCTTTTGAGTGGACTCCTCAGCAAGACCTTTCCCCTTACAGTGAACCCTCTCTGACAAATCTTATTCAATTATTCTCCCTCTCCCGACTCCCTAAGTCGGCTTTTCTCCCTTGACTCGTCACCTTCCAACCCTTTGAATCGAATTTCCTACCTTGGCTCATTT